ACCAAAATTCTAGAATGTATTTTAATATAGATACAAAGGCCTTGGTTTCGAGACCGAAGAGTGGGTATCAATACTGAAGGCTCAACAACTATAAATTTGACAGTTGGAAGGCTCGTTTTCAATAGCAACTTTTTGGTAGGATACCAAATGTGCAGGCTAGCATTAAATGCTCAAAATTAATGAATCCAATGGCTCTATTCAATCCCAAATGGCTCCAAACGGCTAGATTGATGTTATAAGACATAAAAGGGACGAATATTCAAATGGAGAATAACAAAAAAATCAATTGCAAGATCAAACCAAAATCAATAGTGTTTTAGAGCTAAAATAGTCAAATCTTTTGTAACACACTTGCGAGCTACATTGTTAATTTTGCTCAAGTATGATTCTTGGTGAGTGCTTAATTTGTGCAAACATATTTCCCTTTTTGAGGTTTTTTCTTTTGTTTGCTAAATTTGTAATTTCTCTTTGGGAGAGTGTGTAAGAAAGGTTTTGATGTATGAACCCTGTGTTCTTTGTAAGGTTACACCTTATCCTTAAAGGTTTGCAAATCTAGTGGATTAGTGAAATCCTTAGTGTGGATGGCTAAGGTAGTGGATGTAGACTTGGTTTAGAAGTCGAACCACTCTAAATTGTTGTGCAAACTTTTTATTTTCAATTGTTTCCAGCACAAATCATTCAAAGGCCAGTTCACCCCCTCTTTGCACATTTCGATTGTTCTTAAGAGCTCAACACTTCTTATGTAGAAATTTCGGATCTCACCTAGGTAGGCTAGAGGGGTGTGTGTCTCTGAGATGTAGCGAAACCCGCCGACCACACCATGATGCCTACCTCTGTATGTGTGTTAGTTAACATATTTGATACTAACATTTATGTTTAATAATATGTGCATGTAGAGGATGAAGGTAGTATAGATTGGTTATTAGTGTGGCAGTGAGCGTGTGAGCTCAGTGTTGAGAATTTGTTTCCATGCGTAGGTTGGTAGGAGAAGCGTTTTGAGGAGTCGTCACATTGCCAGCCCTCCAGACTGGCGCCAACTTTTTAGTATGTCTCGAGTTCATTATTAGTGGGCTTGTAATGTATATGAACAATTTTATATTCGAGTAGTAACTGTATATTGTGGGACTATTGTAAACTTTATTTGAGCTATTTTGGGGCTCCAATATTTTGTAAATAGAATATTATACATTTATTTTGTGGTTAACATATGGATGAATTTTTAAATGAATGTCTAAGTCATTTCAAAAAGAAAATTTTTGGGTCAGCCACTCTGGTAGTTCCGTGTGATGCCTTGATCTGTCATCTTCGGGTTGTACTGAATTAGAACATTACACCAGTGACAAACAACGATAAGTCGCCTCCTCCTCTTCTTGTCTTCTTGACGCTTCAGCTGCCATGAGGGTCGGTATATTCATTTTCAATCACCAATTAAATTATGATTAACATAAAATTAAATGTCGCCAGAAATTATGTTATAATTTTTTTTGGACATTGAAATCATGTCATAATTAACACCAAAATAGTCATCAAATTTACATAAAAATGTCGTTTCATATTCATATCATGCCTAGAAATACAAGGGTTTGGTGTACGAATTAAGGCTTTGTCACCCTACACTCAACAAGAAAAATAAGGAAATACTTATTTTTTTTAATATGAGATTTACATGCCTTTGACTTCTTTAAGCATTATCAACAAATCTTTTTCTAAATCGAATTTGAGTAAATTTAGAAAATTGTATCTATCTTTTCTTCATCATATATGAAGAATCGAAATCTTCAACCATTATCAGATAAAACTAAATCATACCATCTCATATAGCATTTCTTTTGTGACTTCAACAATTGTCTACTGAATTACAATGGTGTAAGGATAAAGTAAGAAAAAATATGTTTTTTAAAATAATATTATAAAATTTGTTAGTCAAAAATAATTATTTACTATCTTTAAAGTATTAAAGTATTATTTATCAAGGAGAAGGACTTGTGGACCATGGAAAGAGGTGCTAGTCTTAGTTGGACCTTTAATAGAATTCTTAATCTTCGATTTACAGCACACCATGTCCTTTCGAGTGGAGCTTCCACCATAAGGGAAATCTAGCATGAAATTAGAAACAAGGGTGATAAAGTACCTTGGCACTCCTTAATTTGGTTCCCTCAACACATTCCTAAACACAGTCTAATAGCATGGATGGCATTTTTAGATAGACTCCCTACTTGTGATCGACTTTTACGTATGGGGATTAATTCTAACGGGATTTATATATTGTGTAATGATATGCTGGAAAATCAGAATCACTTGTTCTTTGACTGCTCTACTGCTTCTTTTATGCGCACAGAAATTCTGCTCCTTAACGGTTTAAACACAAACATCTCTTCTTGGGAAGACATGGTTTCTTGGGCTTGAAACACTTGGAAAGGTAAATCCCTCATTTCTACTATCCTTAAACTTGTTTGGTGTGCAAGTATTTATGTCTTGTGGGAGGAACGCAACCGAAGAATCTTCAAAGGATGCTCCAGAACTACCGAGGAACTTCTCAACAGCATCAAAGTCTTTGTTGGAATTAAACTTAGGGGGAAAACATCAATAGGTTAGATCATGTAAACTCCAATCTTTGTAATGCTTGGGGTATTGCTTAATTGATTACTTTTTGTATTTAACTTTCTTCTTTCCAATGATCAGTTCTGATTTTTGTAACTAACTTTGTTTATTTGGGTAATAAACATTTATTTATCCAAAAATAAAGTATAAAATATAGTGTAAACTATGCATTTAGTACCTAGATTATCAGTTTTTTAGTTTGTTTTAGTATCTAAACTTTTAATTTTTTTAAAAAATTATATCTAACATTTAGTTTTTGTTTCCATTTAGTACCAGCTGTTAAAAACTTACTTAATGCGTTTAGTACCTAAAGTATCAGTTTTTGTCCATTTTAGTATTTAAACTTTCAATTGTTTTTCAAAACTTAACGTTAAATTTTGAACGGGGATACTAAAATGAAACAAAAACTAAACTTTAGGTATGATTTAGAAAAAATTGAAAATTTAGATACTAATAGATCAAAATTGATATTTTAAGTACTAAATGTATAATTTACCAAAAAAATAATATATGTGGTTGTAACACTATGGGCAGGGGCAAAATTCTAAGGAAGCTGCATCAAGCAAGAGGCAGTCCTTTCCTTAAATGGAAAAGGCGGAATCACAAAACAGCATGTGGCTCTTACACATTGCAAACAATGAAAGTAGCTCATTTATAGTTTAAAAAGACATTATTTTACTAATAGGGTTGGTTCAAGTAATAAACAATTCAATGTCGTTTAAATAAGATTCGAGTTTGAGTCTGTGTAATAAAAAATTTCCGCTAGAAGACTCACTCAACAAAACCAGGTGTACGACGCATATCAGTTCGAATTAGTTAGAACGAAACCTTGAAACCTAGAGGAAAAAAACCATTTTTAATCATTCCTAGGTTTCCAACTACTCATTTGTTTTGATTAAGAATGTTAGGATGCTTGACATCATTACCTGAAATCATCCAAATTTACAAAAAAAAAAAATTGTGTTAGTGCTTTCACCTGTTCTCCACCTGCTCCTCTCCACATCTATTTGGCATTTAGGATAACAATTAATAATTACGCACATATAAAGTTCTTGTGTCGTCATTACCCACAAATTATGTAACAAATTAATGCCTCAAATGGCACAAAGCATGTTTTGCTGACACCATATATAAATGGCACACCCATTATGTTGGACAAAAAAAATGTATATCAACAATACATATAAACAAAAGTAGTGGCTTAAACACAACTAACTTTTATACTCGAATATTTTTTTTTTAAAAAAAATTCTTTTTAATTTCGTTGATCGATTTGGTGACCGAATTTAGTCGAGGACTTTAAATTATATTATAAACTGTGAAACATACTTTGTTATTGAGAAATTCTATTTAAAATATGAGAATTAACTACAGAAATAAAAAGCTTAAACATTTTGAAAGAGAAAACATTGGATAATTCAAAAGAAATAAAAATTGCACAGGTTTTATTATGTTATCTTTACGATAGATTTAAAAAAATATTAATCTTCAATATTAAATTTGAATATATTGATATGAGAATTTATAAAACTCTTTTCCATTGGACTCTTTTAAATTTCACATTCAATAAATTAGTAATATAATTAATATATTAAATAATATTTAAAAAATTATCTAGTACTATCATGTCTATGTAGAGTGTAAGCTTGGAAATATTTCTGAAAATGAGAAGTTATTTTCAAACCCATAAGTAACTAAACATCAAAAAATTGGTTTAAAATCATAGTTGAAAAAGTGATTTTTAACATAACTTCAAAAGTTCAAATTTTTAGCTTCGTTGAAAATCGCTTTAGGGGATAATATTTTATTTTTATCTCAATTATTTAATTTTAATTAGTTTTTAAATTTATACACATACATGTATAATTATTTATTTATTGTTTTTATAATGTTCAAATTGACTGTTATATATAAATTCATAGAACTTAAATACGTTATTGTTATCAAATAATATTATAAAACCAAACCAGATAATGTTATCCTAAGATCTTACATTCCTCGAACTAAGTGTATCCTAATAATATTATATTATGTGACACCAATAAAAAAATGTAAAAGTATATATAATATGTGGATAAGGATGATCAAGGAATAATCTTGCCCTCAAAAGAATATTTATATATCTTAATCAGTTGTTTGCTTCTATGTACCGATTTAGAGACGTGGCTTAATAAGTTAAGTAATCTAATATTAATAGTAAAATTGTAAGAATGTAATAATAATTATACGTATTCTTATATTTTCCCTTGGGTGGATGTGCACTTTTGGTGTTGCATGACGCAACAGTCGGTTTCCTTTCTGGCCATTTTTCAATGAATTCAAAACCGATGTTTTTTTGCAATATATATACACACACACACTCTACATTAGTATTCCAATTATCAGTCAAAGCGATCAGTACCTTCTTCTTGTTTTGCCAATCATCTGAGTTTGATCGATCAAGGTAGGTAAATCAATCGATAGGATGGCGGCCAACGATGTGCCTTGCTGCGAGTCTATGTTCTGGGTTTATCTGGTTGTGTGCGTGGTTCTTGTCTCCTTTGCCGGCCTCATGTCTGGCCTTACCTTGGGGCTCATGTCCCTCAGTCTTGTTGATCTTGAAGTCGTCATCAAGGCTGGTCAACCTGAAGATAGGAAGAACGCAGGTTCATTTTACCCACTCTTTTATATACTTCTATTCATGGCTTTTACATAAATTGTTCATCTCTTCCCATGGCAGAGAAAATTCTACCGATAGTCAAGAATCAACACCTACTCTTATGCACTCTCCTTATAGGCAATGCCCTTGCAATGGAGGTATATATCATCATCTTTTTGTCTATACATCTTTCAATCTTTTACAACACTAATTTCTGAAATTTCCATGTACCTCAATACAAGGCTCTTCCGATCTTCCTGGATTCCCTCCTATCCGAGTGGTGTGCAATATTAATATCAGTTACTCTAATATTGGCATTTGGTGAGGTAAATCTTCCTCTCTCTTTTTTCTTTTCTATTTTTTTCTTTTTATTTTCCTTTTTTTTTTCATACAACTGGTCCGATTGGAGCATATCAGTACCCAAAAAAAGTTGATAAAAAAGATATAGGGTAAACCAGGTATTTAGTCACCCAATTATCACTTTAGCTCTGTTTTTTGTCACCCAACTGTTTTTTTCAAAATCATTATTAACGTTACGATTTGGTTTTATTTTGGTTATCTGCCATTAAAATATTAACGATGATATGACATGTCATCATAAGGTAATGCTATTTTATCATTGAAAAAAATACACGTCAACAATTCTGTTAATTTTTTAATGGCAAGTGACTAGAGTGAAACAACAACGTAACGTTAGTGATGATTTTGTGAAAAAATAATAGTTGGATGACCGAAATTAAAGAAAATTGATAGTTGAATGACTAAATACGTAGTTTATCCAAAAATAAAATAATAACCAACCTAATCCAGAAATAGCTTTACACAATATGTTTAGGTTGAAAGTAACGTATTGTTTTGATTAGATCATTCCTCAAGCTGTATGTTCTCGGTATGGGTTGAGTGTTGGAGCAAAACTCTCCGTTTTAGTTCGGTTCATCGTAATAATCCTCTTCCCGGTAGCTTACCCGATCAGTAAGGTAATTTGGACTTTCAAACCCTTTTGGAAGATGAAAATGATGAGCATTTTAGTGAAAAAAAATGAATATTTGGTCCATTCTTTATTCATGTCGCAGCTCCTGGATTTGCTGCTGGGGAAAAGACATTCTGCTCTTCTTCGACGAGCTGAGCTGAAAACACTGGTTGACATGCTTGGAAATGAGGTTGGTAGTGATTTCCAACTTTCCATATATTAATACTAAACCCTAAATCCTAAATCAATATAGTTATAAGTCGAGGATGGACTGAGAGATACTCCTATGAGATCGTACCCTTTAAATTTTTTAGGATAAAGTATAAAAATGATCATTTGACTATAGGATATTGTTTTTTAAGTCTTTTGACTATTAAAATTTATGAAATGGTCACCCGACTATTCATATGTTTCAAACTCCTCTTTTTCATTAAAAAAATTTGCATCCTTTTGAGTTTGACGTTAATCTGTTGATTGGAATATGATCCAATGCGATCTCAAAATTGTTTGATATGTAATTTGTAGATCGACTCTCTATTTACATCAGGTCGTCGAGATAATGCTTGAAACATTAGACTGTCGAGTTAATCTTGAAAGAAACAACAGTGCTAGTAGACATCATTGATATATGATTTTATCATATCCTAGTCAACATGTCAACGTCCAACTCAGATGATCGTGAATCTTTTAATAGAAAATGACAAGTCTAGAATATATGAATAGTCGAGTGATCATTTTGTAAATTTTAATAGTAATGAAACTCAACAAAACAACGTCCTATAGTCGAGGGATCATTTTTTTAATTTTTACTAGTCAGAGACTCAACAAAGTAATACCTTATGGTCGAAGGACTATTTATGTACTGTACCTAATTTTTTAATTACCTCGTCTTAAATCTCTAATATAAAGTTCTTCGGTTTACATTCCTAATAGAAAATCATGCGTCTGTTATGGTCTAAACTATCCCAACCAATGCAAAATTGGTATGATATTCATGTTCAATTTTAGGCAGGGAAAGGTGGAGAACTAACCCATGATGAAACAACCATCATCTCTGGAGCACTGGATATGACACAAAAAACTGCTAAAGATGCCATGACACACCTGTGTAACATTTTTTCACTCGACATAGATTCTAAACTCGACGAGTATGTTCTTCTTCTATGTCTCTCTGGCTTTATGTCTCAATTTAGGTTTCACTCTCATCAAACATATGTTGTACGGAACAGGAAAACAATAGGGATGATCATGAGAAAAGGCCACAGTCGTGTACCCATCTATTCAGGGGGACCGGCAAATATCATTGGGCTAATACTGGTGAAAAATCTGATCAAGTGCCGTCCCGAAGACGAAACTCCCATCAGGAATCTTACTATTAGAAGCATCCCCAGGTTAGTTTTAAGTTGAGATACAAATTTGATGCGATTTTGAAGACTAATAAGTGATTAAGTAATTGAATTGGTGTAACAGGGTTCATGATCGTTTACCTCTCTATGATGTATTGAATCTATTCCAGGAAGGGCACAGCCACATGGCTGTTGTTGTTAAGAGCAAGGATAATATAAAAAGAGACTGCTGAAACCAAACTTCACTCTAATTCTAAAAGAACCAAGTCAAAGGTGAAAGGTATAATTGTCGTATTAACTTTTAGGGTAGAGTACATAAATGGTCCCGATCATGGGGCATTGCTTTATTGAGTTCTTCGAATATCAGAAGTTATGAATTGAATGTCGAAGTAGTTGGACGTTAACCAGCTGATTGTGATATAATAAAATCATATTTTAATGATGTCTAGTGGCAATGTCGTTGCTTTCAAGCATTGACTCGTGTGCTTAATGTAAACAGAGAATCGATCCACAAAATATAGCTCAAATTTGGAATCAGATTTTAATATATTCCAGCTAACAAATTAATGTCCAACTCAGACGACTGTCAATTTTTTAATGAAAAATGATGAGTTTGAAAAATATGAATAGTCATGTGGCAATTTTTGTAACTTTTAATAGCCGAAAGACTCAACAGAGCAACATCTTATAGCTAAATGACTATTTTGTAACTTTTATTAGTCGGATGACTTAACAAAGCAACGCCGTATTGTAAAAGGTCATTTGAGAACTTTACCCTAACTTTTACTATTATTTAACCCTTATATAACTTTGTTATAATGAAAAAAAATATTCTTTATATACGTACGAGCTTATGAACTCATGATGACCAAATTTTGAAATTTCAGGTATTAAGCAGCGGCGTGAGTATGATCGCCATGAGCATCTTGGTATGGCTTCAAGCTCAGTTTCCCCAAATTCTGCCATCAATGATATCCAAAGTCCCACATCGAACAAGGAGGTTGGGAGTAAAATACATCTACGATTGAGGAAATGGGAGCAAACCACTCTTTCCAATGAAGATTTGGAATCATTTTCAGCTTCGCACGAGGAGGTTCTTGGTATCATTACCCTAGAGGATGTCATGGAAGAACTTTTGCAGGTTTTTTTTAGGATAAACTATGCATTTAGTACATAAATTATCAAATTTGATTTGTTTTAAAACCTAAACTTTTAATCTTTTTCAAAACCACACCTAACGTTTAGTTTTCATTTAATTTACTACCACCACTACAGGAAAATAGAGTTTTAGCGGCGTTTTTTTAGTCCTATAGCGGCGTTTTTAAACGCCGCTAAAAGCGCTTGCGGCGATTGGAAAAACGCCGCAAGAAGCGCCGCAAAAAACAGCGCCGCAAAAGTTAGCGGCGTTTGAGAACCAAAAACGCCGCTATAGTTCAAGATCTATAGCGGCGTTTTTGGAACAAACGTCGTAAAAGGTCGATATATATAGCGGCGTTTTTAGAACAAACGCCGCAAAAGGTCAAGATCTCTAGCGGCGTTTATGGAACAAATGCCGCAAAAGGTCGAGATCTATAGCGGCGTTTTTGTAACAAACGTCGCAAAAGGTTAGATATTTAGCGGCGTTTTTGGATACAAATGCCGCAAAAGGTCGAGATCTATAGCGGCGTTTTTGTAACAAACGTCGCAAAAGGTTAGATATTTAGCGGCGTTTTTGGATACAAATGCTGCAAAAGGACAGATCTATAGTGGCGTTTTTGGAAACAAACGCCGCAAAAGGTTAGATATTTAGCGGCGTTTTTGGATACAAACGCTGCAAAAGTACAGATCTATAGCGGCGTTTTTGGACACAAACGCCGCAAAAGGTCAGATCTATAGCGACGTTTTTGGACACAAACGCCGCAAAAGGTCAGATCTATAGCGACGTTTTTGGACACAAACGCCGCAAAAAGTCAGATCTATAATTACCATTCTTTAGCTAAGATTAATTGATATTAATATTCTATATCATTATCTAATAATAATAAACTTAAAATTTAATTACGACACAAATTATATGCAAAAAAAATCAAATTTTATAAAATTAAATTAAAATGTAACATAGTTCAAGATTGTTCACTACAATTTATTCTAGGTTCTTTCTCTTTCAATAGAATAAAAACATTGTTCACTAGAATAAAAAACAATCTTCTAGTGGCAATTTTCCTTTTGGCATGCAACTTCAATTGATTCTCTTCATCAGAAATGTACCTTCAATTCAAACAACAATGAAAACAATGGATTCAGATACAATATATTACAAGAAGATAAACTAGAAGAAAAAGCATGATTCTAAACAATATTACCTCCAAATTTCTTGCCTTCAAACATAAGTTCAAGCTAATGAGAAAAAATGTTAAACATTATCTTCTTTCTAAATAACTATGATACATGGCATATATCCACATATGCAAGCTAGCCAATGCATTCTGGAAGACCCCCATAATCAGATGGCATATGGAAAAAGGAGGAGAAATATAGATTTAACTAACATACATAACACTGTCAACCCTTAATGGGTACAATGCTTCAAACATTCCTAAGCAAAAAATGTTTGTGACACAGGTGTGATGCTTCTGATTTGGCATAGAAATGCTCGTGATAGTTCTATTGCATTTCAAGAATAACACCTAAAATTCAGAACTATGAACAGAGTATGGTTGGCAAGAAGCTGATAGCAAAACAATAGATAATTCAAACAATTAAAAGAAAAAAAGACAATAGCTAATAGACCAAAACTTCATAAAGAAAAAAGCTTCTAAAATAATTAATGATTAAAATCACAAAATGCAAGGAATGATTAAAATCACAAAATGCAGGGAAACAAGATACATTATAGTACATGAAAGACAAACATGTTGATTATAAACAATATTGATCATAACCATCAGCAATTATTGCAAATACAACAAGAAATAAGATAAAGAGGAAACAGGAAATCTGTGATCTAAATCAAGACCCTGTGGCTTATTATTTACCCATAAATGATCAGCACCCTGGTCAACTGATGTATTAACTGGAACACACTTATACTGGACTTGCCGAGCACTGAAGTAATCAAAAGAAAGGATGACAGGAAACAGGAATAGATGAACAACTGAAACTAGCACTATAATAGAAGCAATTGCAGCTACAAGAGACCATGAGCATTTCCACTTGAACAGAATACATCATCTCAAGCAACTCTTCTACTGCAGTTGAGAAACAAATCAATGGATCTGTGAGCTTCACATTAAAAATTGGTTGTATCCTCACACCTCACTCATCAAAGCGCCTATAGCAACAACCAGAAAGCAGTTTTAGAAAATAAGGGCAATAAGAAAATGCTTATTTGGAAACAAGTACTAGACAAGAGAGTAGATTTTGATTTGATTATTTTACAAATCATGAGAATGAATGAATTACTGGAGTTCCCTTTTTTATTTGTGTATTACTAATTCAGTGCTCAATAGAAATCCAGAAATGCCATGATCTTTAAATTTAATCATAAAAAATAATATGTTGGAAAGTACTACAAAAAAATTCATTCAACAGTTGACATCCAAATCCCTCCTTTGGAACTAAGTTCTCAAAGGCAACCTTAGAACATTTTCAAGACTGCAGTTATAAACCACAAAACCCTACTGCAATTTCACTGATAAAAGCCAGCAGAAATTCATAATGCATACAACCTTCAATAATCTATGGAATTAAAATCAGTAATTTCTCACCTTAATTTATAACAGGGCAATAATTCAGCACAATTTCCAGGAAAAAAGTTAAATTGTTTTGAACAAATATTCAGCTTTGATGACCAGAAAGCAATGAACAGCCTTCAACCAGATCTGGGTTTCAAGAGTTTGACCAAAAATATCAACAATTTAACAGACAATAACATTATAAACACATGAGAAAGAGAATGTAATAGTGCAGCAATTATTGAATTTTATAAATTAATGATGATTCAAGACAGCCTTTAACCAGTTCGCGCTTGTTCTGAAGATTCCAAGCAAACCCAGATTTCTTCTTCAACCTCTGCAGAATCCCTGTAAGAGAAACACAGTCAGAAATTCAATGTTAAATCTTTTGCCCAAATATATGTATCGGAAACTAGAAACAAAAATAAAATCTCAAAAGATTCAAGGACAAACACAGTCAGATTTAACACCGGCGTTTTGTTTCCAGGCGTAGCGATTTTGGTGCTTCGGTGGCCCTCGACGACTGCTCATCTTTTGCTTGCAGGCTGCCGACTCAATCACTCTTCTCTGACTAACGTTTGGAATTTGTTAATTAAACCTACCATTTTTTCTAATTAACGTTTGGGGTTTGGTAGTGAAGCAGATGGTTTGGGTAAACGGCGGGATTGAAAAATGGGTGAAGGTGGAAAAAATGAAAAAGGGCGGGATTAAAAATTGTAAACTTTCGACATTTGTATATAAACACCACTAAAGTATAATTGTATAACGACGTTTGTATAAAAATGCCACGAAAGTACAAGTGTATAGCGGCGTTTGTATATAAACGCCTCTAAAGTACGAGTCTTTAGCGGAGTTTTTATAAAAACACCACTAAAGTACAAGTCTATAGCGTCGTTTATATAAAAACGCTACTACAGTACGAGTCTATAGCGTCGTTTATAGAAATGCCACTAAAGTACGAGAATTTAGCGGCGTTTGTGCTTAAAATGCCACTAAAGTATAGTATTTAGCGGCGTTTATACAAAAACGCCACTAAAGTACGAGCATTTAGCGGCGTTTGTGCTTAAAACGTCACTATAGTACATTATTTAGCGGCGTTTATATAGAAACGCCACTAAAGTACGAGCATTTAGCGACGTTTGTGCTTAAAACGCCACTATTGTACATTATTTAGCGGCGTTTATACGAAAACGCCACTAAAGTACAGTAGGTAGCGGCGTTTATATAAAAACGCCACTAAAACACAAGTATTTACCGGCGTTTGTTCAAAAAACGCCGCTAAAAGTGCCGCTAAAAACCCATTTTGCTGTAGTGCACGGGATTAAAAACTTAACTCGTTTAGTATATAAACTATCGATTTTGGTCTGTTTTAGTACCTAAACTTTTAATTTTTTCAAAACATAACATTAAATTTTGAGCGGAGTATTAAAATAAAACTAAAACTAAACTTTATGTAAGATTTTCAAAAAAATTAAATAAAAGTTTAAGTATTAAAATTGACTAAAACTGATAGTTCAAGAATTAAGCGTGTAATTTACACTGTTTTACTATTTCATTTCCACTTCCCAATACAAATGCATGTATTTAGGGATGTAACGCGGGCACGACTAAGGCCGAATGCTCCCTGAAAATTATGATATATTTTAGATTTTTTTAATATTTTTAGTGTTAATCTGTTTTCACATTTAGAATATTAGAAGTTCATTCTCTCTTAACATTCTAGAAGTTTGTCTCTGATATAAAATCTTTCGTCCATCTATGGTTGTATTATGTCCAACACTTTTGGGTTTTGCAGGAGGAAATATTCGATGAAACTGATGAGTACGTTGATGTTCACAATAGGTAAGTAGGCTTGTTTCGTATCATTTCATCAACGTTGAATTCAATTCTCATATTAAGGTATCTATTTAGAATTACAATCAACATGCAACCTTCGCGAAGATCGCCACTAAGAGCAGCTACAGCATCATCCCAATTCCACTGGAGAAGTCCGATTTCTTCGACTCGGGGAAGTCCAACTTCTTCGAAGCCTCATTCTCCGATATTCAGATCACCGAACTCACAACGCGTCCAGTCGCCGCTGTCCAATCCAGCTCTGTGTTCTTCCCCCGGAAAACCTATCCCAATTTCTCCATCTCACCATGAGGTAAACAACGTTTAATTTCAATTTCAGTGTTGAGGTTCACACATTAAAAACGTGTGAATTTGTTTGCGCAGGTATCCAGAAAATCGTACGAGAGGCTGAGGCATGGTTCTTAGGTTTCAATTCGATTCAATCATAACAAAAAGAAACTGTCGTAACCGGTTTTCGTCCGGGCACGAATTTTTTACTTGGCGGGAAAAGTGATGTGAATAAATGGTTTTTAAAATAATTTGTGAGTCAGCCATCGGCCTTTTGGGTCAGGTAGGTCGAATACCTAAAAATCATCCTTTAAAAGAGTTTTTAAGAAAACATCGATTAAAAGATAAACTGATATGTGTTTTAACCAAAAATTCGTTCTTTTTAATAATAAAAAGGGATTCGTGGTCGGTTACATTTAGGGAAGGATTAGCACCCCTACAACGCCCAAAATTAGTACTTTTTAATTATAAATTGTCTCTATTATTAGAAATTTAAAAATTCAAAATATATTTAATTTATAATCCTATTATTTCAAAATTATAATTATGAAAAAATATATTAATTTATATATTTATAAATAAAATATATTTATTTTAGAAATATCAGAAAAGGACTTCTAGGTGCCTTAAGACAGCTCTTTTCTTCGATATTAAAAAATAAATAAATAATTAAAACAATTAATATATAATTTATAAATAGGATATTATTTATTTAAAAATATCAGAAAATGGACATCCAGTTGTTTTAAGACTGCCCTTTCTTAATATTGAAAATAAATAAATATTAAAACAGGATTAAAATAAGTTAAAAGTAATTAAATAAGATTTTAATAAAAAAATAAATATTATTTATTATATAAATATATATTTATGGCTAAATAATAATAATAGTAATAATAATTAAAAGTAAACATATAAAATTAACATATAACTAAACAATGAATAAAATTAAAAATATATATTTAAAATAAATAAAACATGTAAAAAATAAATAAAAATTGAAATTGGTGACTAAATTATAACCTAATAGAATTAAATACCTAATTCATAATTAATTATTTAAAATTACAGGGATTAAACATGTTATTTTACTCATTTATTAATTTATGGACTAAAATAAAATTATATTAAATTCGAATGTTAAATTAAAATAAATTAAAATATGCTATTCAGATTAAAATATTAATTATTAAAATTAAAGGCTCTAACTCGAATAATAAAACAATCTAAGTGCTAATAATGTAATTTAGTCTTATTTAATTAATTCGGGTTAAAATATAAATTATGAAAAATTATAAGGGACTAATATAGTATTGACCCTAAATATATATAAACACTGATAATGACTAAATTATAAATAAAAAAATTTGAAGACAAAATTAAAATGTTTAGAATTTGATTTCAGTGACTAAAATGAAAGTTTACAAACTTCAAGGGTCCGCGCAATTGATTTTTCTATGCGGGAAATTACACAAACATCCCTCACCAAAACGACGTAGTTTTGGTGAGGGTATAAATACCCTTAAAAATCCCTAAAGGCCAAAATTTTCTCATTTCTCATTTTTTTTTCTCTCTCTCTATAAGAGAAATAAAACTCTCTCCCTCTTTCTAAAAGCTCCGTTCGGAGGGAGACCAGAAACTAGCCGGCCGCCGTGCTCCGACGCCGGCACCGCCGCAGGCCACCGCCGACGGTGGCCAAAATTCGGGAAAATAGCTCCGAATACTCCTCTTTCAATTCTAAGGCCGAATATGGCTTTCTTTTATACTAAAATGCTTTAGATCGTTCTAGATCTAAAATAACCGTATGTATTACCTTTGGTTATACAATGGCTCCGGCGACGTTCGGCTCTCCTCGGTGGTAAGTTACTTCTCTTTTCCTCTTTGTTGTTCTTTGCTCGTGTTGGTGTTGCTGTGGATAATGGTCTCGTTCTTCTCGTTCTCACTCCGTTTGGTATCTTCCTCTTTCTGTTCGTGGCTGTCTCACTGTCTTGCCCTCATTTTTCCTTTTCTTGCTCGCTCTGTCGATTCTCCTTCCTTTTCCCTTTTGCAGGCTCGGTGGTGGCTTTTATAGCCACCACAAAGCTCTCCATGGACCGGGTAATAAGGGGGAGTTCGGTGAGTCACCAAACTATGGTGGTGACTCACCCTATAGCTTCAACGTGGAGGGGCAACTGTCGCTGGAAGCTACTGAAAATGCTGCGTGGAGGGGCTGCTGCAGCTGATGGAAATTACTGGAAATGCAACGTGGAGCTGCTGGAATGGAGAGGTAAAATGGTGATTACAGCTGCCTCTCTTTGCTCGTTGTTGTGGAACAGGAATGGAGCAAAGACATAAAACAACATTTTTAGCTTGAAATGTTTAAACTTCTGAGCTATAAGTTCTTCTTATTATGAACTTTTTGCTAACTTCAGACGATTTCTTCTCATTATGAACTCTTCTACTGGGAATGACGATCCACCTCCTTCTGTGATAGATTTGACAAAAGGTTGAACAATGTTGATGTTGATATATTTCCCTCTATGATGAGTTGAGCAAAAAGTTGAATAAGTTCTTCAGATTATGAATTTCTTCTTCTTTGGGACTAGTTCTTCTCATTATGAACTCCTCTACTGGGAATGATATTCCATTTTCTTCTGTGATGAAATCTAGCAAAAGGTTGAACAAGTTCTACTCATTATGAACTTTTTCTTCCTCTTCAGATGAGTTCTTCTCATTATGAACTCCTTCTGGAAATATTGATCCTCAAGAGAGGTGTCGTTGATTCAACTTCATATATGATGAATTAAGACAAGGTTGAACAAGTTCTTCTCATTATGAACTTTCTCTTCCTATTCAGATGAGTTCTTCTTATTATGAACTTCCTCTGAAAATGTTGATCCTCAAGTGAGGTTCTTCTTTCATTCAACTTCATAGGTGATGAATCAAGATAAGGTCGAACAAATTATTCTCATTATGAACTTCTTCTTCCTCTTCAGATAAGTTCTTCTCATTATGAACTCTTTCTGGAAATGGCTCTGCTGCTCTATCTCTTTTCTGGAAAAGTTGATGCTTATCTATCTCCTTCTGTGATAGAGTCATGCAAAAGGTTGAACAAGTTCTTCTTATTATGAACTTCTTCTTCCTTCTTCAGATGAGTTCTTCTCATTATGAACTCGACCTGGAAATATTGATCCATCGAGTGATGAATTCAAGCAAAAAGTTGAACAAGTTCTTCTCATTATGAACTTCTCTCATTCTTTAGATGAGTTCTTCTTATTATGAACTCTTCCGGCAATGTTGATCCATTGAGTGATGAATTCAAGCAAAAAGTTGAACAAGTTCTTCTCATTATGAACTTCTTCTCCTTCTTCAGATGAGTTCTTCTCATTATGAACTCGACCTGGCAATGAGATGACCCTAAGGGTTTAAACATCAAAAAGCTCCAGAAGGCTTTTTGGAAACATCATGCACTGTAGGACTTACAGATGACCCTAAGGCTTTGAAAACATCAAAAAGCTCCCGAAGGCTTTTTGGAAACATCAAAAAGCTCCTGAAGGCTTTTTGGAAACATCATGCACTGCAAGTCTTACAGATGACCCTGAGGGTTTAAACATCAAAAAGTTCCCGAAGGCTTTTTGGAAACATCATGCACTGCAGGACTTACAGATGACCCTAAGGCTTTGAAAACATCAAAAAGATCCCGAAGGCTTTTTGGATACATCATGCACTGCAGGACTTACAGATGACCCTAAGGCTTTGAAAACATCAAAAAGCTCTCGAAGGCATTTTGGAAACATCATGCACTATAGGAATTACAGATAACCTTAAGGCTTTGAAAACATCAAAAGATCCCGAAGGCTTTTTGGAAACATCATGCACTGCAAGACTTACAGATGACCCTAAGGCTTTGAAAACATCAAAAAGCTCCCGAAGGCTTTTTGGAAACATCATGCACTGCAGGACTTACAGATGACACTAAGGCTTTGAAAACATCAAAAGGCTCCCAAAGGCTTTTTGGAAACATCATGCACTGCAGGACTTACATATGACCCTAAGGATTTGAAAACATCAAAAAGCTCCCGAAGGCTTTTTAGAAACATCAAAAAGCTCCTGAAGGCTTTTTGGAAACATCATGCACTGTAAGTCTTACAGATAACCCTGAGGGTTTAAACATCAAAAAGCTTCCGAAGGCTTTTTGGAAACATCATGCACTGTAGGACTTACAGATGACCCTGAGGCTTTGAAAACATCAAAAAGCTCTCGAAGGCTTTTTGGAAAATCATGCACTGTAGGACTTACAGATGTGGGAAATAGTTTACTAAGTAAAAAAACTAAGGAAATCGTTTTCTTACTTTTCAACAATTTCATTTTAGAAATGATTGAATGAGAAACTATGGAATTGTTTTCTCATTATTTTTCAAAATAACATGTTGATTGGGTAACATGCCCCAATCTCAAGATAAGGCTGTTGGAAATAGTTTACTAAGTAAAAAAACTAAGAAAATCGTTTTCTTACTTTTCAACAATTTCATTTTAGAAAAGATAAAATGAGAAACTATGGAAATCGTTTTCTCATTATTTTTCGAAATAACATGTCGATTAGGTAACATGCCCCAATCTCAATATAATGCTCATTTTTGTGGATTGCATCCATCTCTTCTTCAGATGTTTGCGTGATTCCTGTATTTGTGGTTTTGAATACCTTCTTCTTGTAAGGTATTTTTTACCATGAATCTTCTTGTTCTTCCGAAGATCTGTAAAACTTCATGTTTGAATGCACTCAGATGTATCAATGTAATGCATTGTCTATTGTGTAAATGATATTCTTATGAATGCATGAATGTTGATGCAATCTTCATTTGACTTCATAGTGGTGAACTCGGTCTTCCTTCAGTTCATCATTTATTGCCAGGGTTACCTCTGGATATCAGTGTAGTAACTTACGCTATCAAGCTTGCATTTCTGCAGAATCATCTAGTCAATTGTATCTTTGCGTCTTCTTGACTTCATTTAAGTCTCAGAAGAAATGTTTCATTTGTGGAACTCTTGCCGTAGTCAGAGCTATGACCTTGATGCCCCATCTTGTCTTGGATAAAAACAACTTTCTTTGCTTGGACTTGTGTAGAAATCCAATAAAGCTTTCATTTTTGAAAAGAGAATCTATCATCTTTA